GTGAGAGAGGGAACACAAGCAGAGGGAGTGGGAGACAGAGAAGCAGGCTTCCCACCGAGCAGGGAGCCTGATGCTGGGCTCAATCCCAGGACCCTGGGATCATGACCTGAGCGGAAGGCAGATGCTTAACGACTGAGCCACCCAGGTGTCCCGCTATCCATATTTTTAAATTGCCTGTTAGTACCTTTTGTCCATTTTTGTCTTGTGATTCTTATACTTTTTTTAAGTAATCTCTACACCCAACGTGGGGCTTGAACTCATGACCCCGAGATTGACAGTCGCAAGATCTACTGACTGAGCCAAACAGGCACCCCTCTTCTCCTTTTTTTTTGTTTAAAGATTTATTTTAGAAAGAGAAAGTGCGCGTGTGATTGGGGGGAGGGGCAGAGGGAGAGGGTTAGAATCCTCCAGCAGACTCCTTGCTGAGCGGATCCCAGGACCCTGAGATCACGGCCTGAGCTGAAATCAGGAGTCAGACACTTAACCATTGGAGCTGCCCAGGTGTGCCCAGTGGCAGTCTTTTTGAGAGAAAACTCAGAATTCTGAGGAGAAACTGACAAACTCTTCATTGTAGTAGGAATTGTTAATAGATTCTCTCATTAAGTGAAAAAACATACTTAAAAATCAGTAGATTTGAACAACTCACAGTTAGCAGGCTTGATCCTAGTAGACCAATAGAACATTGGCAAATACACATTCTTTTCAAACATATATAGATTAAGTTGACCACATATTAGGCCTTAAAAGCACCTTTCCTCAAATTTCAAAGGATTCATGTCATACAGGCAGTTGTCTGTGTTATAATTAAAAGCTAGAAATTAATAAACCAAAAAGACCCCTATGTTTGGAAACTTATAAATGTACTTTTAAATAATGTATGGGCCAAAGAAGAAAATAATGGAAGTGAGAAAACATTTAAAATGCAACAATAGATTTAAAAAAAATCAAGACTTGGAATGCCCTTAGAGGGGCACTTAGAAGGGAATTTACACCATAAATGTTTAATTTTTCCTTTCTAATGTAAGGAGCATCATTTGCAAATGACATTTGTTATTTATTTGGGAACTTGGATGAGATGGACATCCTCCTAGAAAAATATTTCTCAAACTGATTCAAGAAGAAGTAGAAGACCAGACTACTCCTGTCCCCAATAACGGAATAGAATTAGTAGTTAGAAAATCTTCCTGTAAAACCATGTCCATTTTCTCTTTCCGAGCAGTGACAGGACAAGTTAGATTGAGTTTTTCCAGGGAGGGAACACACTGATCAACCCGAGGCAGGACGCTCTGGAAATGCACCAGTGCTGGGTTTCCTTGCCGAACCGAAAGCTATAGAGGGTGTCCAGTGGTGCCTGGTTATCGAACACGCTGGGAGACTTCCACCAGTGTCTCGTCCGGACTTCCTCCTTGTGGTTAGTCCCTCATGTTTGCTGGTGAGAATGCAGCGTGCCTTAGAGGTGGTGTATAAACAGGGCTCGCTGGTGACGCCCAGACAGGAGGAGACTATCATAAGCTTTCCTTGGGTTTCCAAATTGATCAACTTAACTTTTACATGTTTATTCTCCCACTTTT